TAATAGGCCTTTAGCGACGGTACGACCCGTCGGTAATGAAAACCAGCGGAGGGGTCGGAAATGCGGAAGTATTAGCGACGGTAAATAAACCGTCGCAAAAAACCTTTTTTTTTGACGGCATATATCATTTGCGACGGAAATTTGCCGTCGCAAAAAAGGATTAATTCAAACGGCGCCGTTTTGCCTTATATTTGCGACGGTCTACATCATACCGTCGCAAAAAGTCCAAAAAAAAAAAACCTTCTTCTTCCTGTGGGCTGCCGCTCGATCCTCCTCCCCAAATCCCTAACTTCACCCCCAAATTCCCCAAACGGCCTACGAGGAAGACAGCGGTGGTGCGGCGGCGACGGCTCCGGCGACAAGAGTGGTGCTCCGGCGACGACTCTCTCTCCTCTGCGTATGCTCTCTCTCTCTCTCTCTCTCTCTCTCTCCTCTCCTCCGGTCTGTGTATAATATATAAATCTGTCTATATATATATGCAATGTATATAAATCTATATAATATATATAATATCTGAAATCTGTCTATATATATATATAATCTGTTTATCTGAAATCTATATATATAAATTTGTCTATATATATATATAATATGTCTATATATATGTATATAAATCTGTTTATTAATAACATACTTTAATTAAGAACATACTTTAATTAATAAATCTGTCTATATATATTGTATATAAATCTGAATCTGTCTATATATAACAGATTTGTCTCATGGTTTATTAATAAATCTGTCTAAATATATGTATATATATATTATATAATAAATCTGTTTATTTTTAATTATTATCAACATTTATCAATTATTATCATTATTATCAATTAGTGTTTTAATTTTTTTAATTATTTTTATGGTTGTTTTCATTATATCTCTTCAACTATTATCATTTTTTTTTTCTATTTCATCCATAAATTATCTTTTTACCATTCAATCCTTTCAAGTTTTTTATTTTTTTATTTTTTCCAAATCATATGCTCTAATTAGAAATAGTTTGTCAAAATCAGTAAACGTAGCAAACCTAACATAATGTGAAAAATTTTAATCTTTAATTTAGACAAACCACATCATCCGGCCAAACAACTATTTTCTTATTCATATTATATTAGAGCATCTCTATCAAAATAGTTATTTTATTTTTTTTATTAAAACAGTGATTAAATCACTAAATTTCAACTCCATTGAACTAATAACTATCAAGTTAGCTATTTTAGTTTTTCGTAGTTTTGGCTGCAGTAAATGCAGTTAGTAGTTTCAGCTAGTCAAACACATTAAAAATATATATTTTTGGTATTTTTTTGTTACTTGTGTTGAGTTTACGAACTTAAGAACGAAATAAATTAAACTAATACTTTAATTGTTTAAATCGTCTCAAATTATATTGGTGTTTAAGAAGATTCAATTACAAATAACCATGAGACAAATCAATTATAAAGTTTTAATAATAATATAACTCAATTATAAAGTCATGAAGTTTTATCTTTAAACTAATGGGGGTGTTTTTAACTACGGAAAGTCAGTGGAGGTCTGAAAAAACTTTACTAACGAAATAAAATTTTGACAATGGGGTTTGATATCATACACATGTAATGGTTCGATTACAAATTTAAATTGCAAATGTTTAAATAAGTCATAAAAATATTTAAGAGAAAATAAAAAAATACAAAAAAAAAACAGGATTTTAAACCCTTATAATAAAATAAATCTTAAATTTTTAATTTAATTAATTTAAACCTTAAATAGGAATTTTAGACATTTGTTATTTTGCCAAATAGGATTCGAGTGAATATTTATGTGTAGGTATTATATTTAGAGTTCTTTTGGTGAGATATTCTTGTGGATGTGTACAGATGATGGATAAGAGTTGGATTGATTTGCCAAATAGGATGTCGAGTGAATACATTAATGGGATTGATGAATTCCTTGTGTTTGCCTACACCATAGGGTTGAAGGTTCGATGATCAGTTGTCCGTGTAGGAAGTGTGAGAATCGATACTATTTGTACGAGATGGTGTACGGAGCATCTGATTTTGAATGGTTTTTTAAAAAAATACAAACATTGGATTAATCATGGGGAATCTTACATAATCTCTGCATAGTATCGAGAGAATGAAACATTTAGCTAATTTAGCATCCAATATATCACGTCGTGTGCGCTTACATGATAGAAGCATTGGGGGTCTTAAAGAGCACGATAGTCATATTCTGATACAACAACTTATTCCATTGGGCTATTCGCAGATCGTTACCGAAGAATGTAATTGAACCCTTGATTGAATTGAGCAATTTCTTTAGACAATTGTGTTCGAAAAGTGAATCGTGCGACGGATTTGCAATATATTAAAGATCGTATCGCTATAACACTTTGTCATCTAGAGAAAATATTTCCTCCGAGTTTTTTTTGATATAATGGAGCACTTGCCTATACATCTAAGCTTTTGCGACAGGTGCAGTTACCGTCGCAAAAAACCATTTTTTGCGACTGGGGGCGCGGCGTCGCTAAAACTCCGTGTTTTTTGCTATGTTTTCCTGTAGTGGCATGAGCCTCACGACCTCCCCCAAGACTCCAACTAAGCAACATAACCAAAATAAAACCTAACCAGCAATCAAACCTCTAACAAGCTTCATCTGAAGAACCAAGGAGAGAAGGAAAAGACAAAAAGGAATATGTTTTAAGATGATAGCAAGAAGAACTTTAAAGTTACAAATTAAGAATAAAGGCCTTACTTTAAACGAAAAACTACGCTCTCTTGCATTATTGAGATTCTTAAAAACTTCAGCATAGGCTGCAGATTTTTTCTCATAGACAGGCTTATTAGCTAGAGGTGGAAGCTCTATACTAGATTGACCAGATGAAACCTAAGGGCTTGAAGTCAAAGACATAATTTGACTTGGACGAATCCCCCTGGTACTTGAATCACCCAAATTGGTTTTAGGTAATGTAGAAATTCGGCTCATGCTTTGAACAAAGTCTCGTTTTTCTTTTTGCCAATCCTCTTGCCACAGTAAGTCCCACACAATCAAAAGTAACACAACAAGCAATAATAAAATACCCAGTTTTCACCTATTTATTTACTACAATAGTTTCAAAACTCTCAAATCTAACATGGCACTGCACAGTATTACCACATGGTTCACAGTCTTCTCCATCCAGTCTTGCCCCGAAAATAATGGATGTCTTAAGCAAGGGAAGCATTTATCAAAGAAAAAAAAAATGGAAGCACCCTGAATGTATATCATATCTAATATTTTAGGAGGGGGATGTGTGGAGGCAAAAAAAAAAAAGTTTAATAGGCACAAAAGGACTCAAATTTTGATTAAAAAAAATTAAAACCACTTTGAAATATTAACCTTTTTCAGGTTCCAGAAGTTCATAAAGAGTATATGCTTAAAAAAATGAAGAAAAGATCCACAATCATTGCAATCAAAATAAGCTGTTCATAGGATTCAGAATGGAATGGTTAACAGAAAGAAACATTTGGAAGGCATTATGTTAGTGGAATTGAAAAGAATATAAAAAATAAAATAAAAAAAACCTCAAACCATTGATTCACTAGCTCCTACATCCATGAATAAAAGAGAAGCAGGATAAGAAATTCATAGACAACAAAATCATATCTCAAGTAAATGTCAGTTGATTCACATAAAGAAAGCATCTCATTATTTATCAAACTTTTTCGAGATAGCCAATTGTAACAATCAAATAATTTTAGTTCACATGCCACTCCATGTAATCTGAATAGAAAAATTAGAACTAGCAAGGAACAACCAACATGAGAAGGATTGAAAAATAGGGACGATGATACAGAGGAAAAGAACTAAAGATATAATGGAGCCAATTCTGGCATACTAACCTCCAAAACTGTCATCATATAATCATTAAAACTTCTAAGGTTATCCTTCTGAGCTTCCTGAATAGCTGAAACCATTGCCATCTCATGTACTTGATGTGAACATGTTGAAGTTCGATGTGACCACACAACTAAACATTTTTTTAGCTAAGAAGTAAATAGTGTGTGCCTGTGCATGAAAAATGACTGAATGCATTGAGATATGCAACACATTTAGTATTATGCAATTGAATTGCAGACCTAAAAAATATATACTACAATAATAATAACACAGAAATACAACACCACTACTCTTATAGCACTGTCAAACATGTTATACCAAGATAATTCATCAAACTTTACTCATAATGAACAGATTGCTGATATCAACGTAGAAGACAAGAAAACTTCACCTTCAAAACAGTTCCACTTCTGGATTTGTGACTAGTAATCTATATAAAGTGGTACTTTACAACATACCAATTTGAATTGTAGACTTCGAGAAAAACACAGACAGACACACATGGAAGTATAATATATGCAGTAGAGAACATCATGCCAACTAGTCCCTATCACATCTTGGACTATTACTAATATCCCAAAAGGAAAGGCAACAAAATTGATAATCACAGTGATGCTCTATTACTGCAGGAGCTATGCTATGTACATCAGTTGTATTTCAGCCTTAATTGATGAATGAGGAATCTATTTGTAATGAAAGCTTAAAAAAAAATCTAAACATCAAAAGATGATAGTAGCATAGCATCACAGACTAAGAAACTAACAATAACAAATACTTCAACAGATAGAAATATGGAAAAGTTTATTGAGGGACATACCATCTGCTGAAGAAAGAAGTAGAAATATGTAGGATAATGATCAAACATGTGACAGGCTTTTAATGAATTGATAAGTATTATTACACCAACTTGCTCCCCAATCATCAAGATCATCTGTGGATAAATGATGAAGCTCCTTCAATGTCTTGAACTTGACATTATAAGAAATAACTTTGCCCCGGATAGCTAACACCAGTGTAAAATCTTTTTCATTTGCTCCCTTCACAACACAGAGCACATTAATTCAAAGCATGTGATTATGGTTTTGCTAACACACATACACACGCACACAATTAACAACATTCAAGATATATTCTCTATGAAAAAAAAAAAATTCAAAAGACAAAGAATCAAACACCTAAAATGCACAGTACAAAGAATAATTATTGTATAGAATTGAAGAAGCAAACATTTTTTTTTTTATTTTTCACATATTAATCAATGGAATCAAGAGGCGAAACATTTGGGGGTTTTAGATACAATTCTCACTATATATATATATATCTATATAATAAGGCACAAAGCTTTTTGAAAAATGTATCAAAATGTATGTGAGATACATTTTGATCCAATGGCTGAGATCAATCCCAAATATATATCAATGGTTGGGATGTGTTTTATTCCCGCCCAAACACCCTCTCCTCTCTCTCCCACGCCTACCAAACACGGCTGCCTCTACCCAAACGTTGTCCTCAACTCCCTCTCCCCCTCTCTCTCTCTCTCTCCCTCTCCCTCTCCCTACTGTGCTTCACAACCGATCTGAGATCAGATAGCATTGCTGAAGGACGTCATCAATGGCTGAGATGTGTTCGATCTAGGGCTTGATCTGATCGATCTTCGGAAGGAGGTCGAGATCTGGCGTTCAGATCTGGCGTTCCGATCACATTGCCCATCGGATTGATTCAGCAGTTTTCGACTTCTTTGGTTATGGATTTGTTGATTTTGCAGACATGTGGTTCTACCTCCTGAAGTGCCCAAACTTCTTCCCAAGAATCGCCTTCTCTCTGAAGTAAGTAATTAGGGTTTAAAGAAAATGGAGTGGAGTAGAAATTTAATTAGGGTTTAAAGAATCGCCTTATTTCTAGGTTTTCGCGTTCTCTCTGTGTTGTCATTAGGTATATGAGATAAATAAATCAAATTACTTGATTTTGGTTTTATTTCACATTTGAAATTTGCTACTGTGTTCGATCTGTTCACATTCCAGTAGAAATAAATCAAATTTTCGCACTGTGTTCGATATGTTCACATTTCACACTTGATTTTCGTATATGAGATAAATAAATCAAATTTTTGCCTGTTCACATTCCAGT